AAAATCCGAGAAGGGTCCATTTTGCCTGTCCACCGCCTTTGAGCTCATAATTTTTCTTACCGTTTCCGCTTATTTCCGCGTCCTCTTCCTGGTGACATGATACGACCGCCAGCCGATTGGTTGTCTGACGTTGACCATTTGTCATTGTCTAAATTCCAGTCCTTTTGAAAGAATCGAATCATAAAGAAAAAACTTACCCTCCCCATCAGTCCTCATCGGAGTAACCGAACCAGATGGTTCTGCATCTGATTCTTCTTGATGGACAACAACCTGTTGTGATACCACAACGACTTCTGCAAAGGATACTCATGTAAAAAAAACCACCTCACAATTAAACTGACCACTCTCCACTTTCATTTCCGTTTGCTCTTTCTTGACTTCCACATGCCGACAAGAATGAGTCACTTTGTCTACAGTCTTTCTCAGATGCTCATCAGATGCTGCCAACATCTCGCTTCCTCTTCTGCCAGCTAATTTTCCATAAAGTGGACTTTTGGCAACTAGGTCGAAATCGTAGGACGCGCTAACGACAACTCCCACGTCGGCAGCATCATCCAAAGGAGTCTTCTCCTTCGCTGATGATGCTAAAAAATTGCTACTTTTCACTCAAAGTGTGTCAAAAAGTAACAACAAAACCTCGTGATGGTCTCTTTCTCTCCTTTGGTGGAGGTTCGTGGCATGTTAATGTTACACTGTCTCGAACGGCAATCTTCAATATTAGCAGCGCTGAGTCTAAAATATGAGGGTGAATCTATCGTACAAGAATTCAAATCTAAAGAGAATTTCTTAACTCAAAACATGATAAAAAGTTCAAAGTGTTAAAATCTGAAGGAACTCACAATGCTTGGAATCCTGCGCGAATTCGAATTTTCCAAGAACTTCTTCGGGAATAGACGGCTAAACAAACAAGTCATAGTTAGAGATTATGCGAAACTAATAGTGTCACTTTCCATTCAAATTGAGGTCAATGAGAATTCTATGCAATACAATAGCGAGGCCCCCAACTAACTAAA